GCCGCGCCCTCCTGTCCCCGCGGTGGTACCGCCCAGGTCCAAACAGGTCGCGTGTGTGCTCATACACTCCGTGTTGTGGTCAGGTGGTGGCGTCAACGCTGGCGCTGAGGGCGCACGTGAGCAGGTGTCGATGTTCTACGACGGCAAGTGCCCGCTGTGCGCCTATGAAGTGAGCCACTACCAGCGATTGGACAAGGACTTCAAGAACATTCGCTTCCTTGACATCAACGACGACGGGGTGAAGGACGTCCTGGCCGAGAAGGGTCTTACCTTCGACGACGCCATGGCGCGCATGCACGTCGAGACCAAGGACGGCCGCATGGTGGAGGGCGTGGAGAGCTTCGTGCAGGTGTGGCAGGAGCTGCCGTACTGGCGGCACTTGGTGCCACTCGCACGAGTGCCTGGCGTGACCTGGGCCATGCACCAAGCCTACACCGCCTTCGCGCGCAACCGGCTGTGGCTCACCGGCAGGGAGCAGGAGAAGAAGGAATAAATAATTTTTTTTTTTTTTTATCGTTTGATAAATCGACCTGGATGGAGGGGCGGTTCGTGTCCCTCCTCAGCGTCCCGCACCTGTGCGGCCGAGTGAAGGACCTGCTGGCGCAAGAGTGGGACATGTCTGCCGTGGGGTTGGATCTTTCACAGGAGGAGCCCGTGCACGATCTGAGCCTCCCCCTCATGCTGCTCTTCATCGCGAATGCGGAAACTCCTGCAGATGAAGGCGGCCAGGATCAAGTCCTGGCGCATGCCTGTCTAGAAGCGTTCGACGCAGAGCATGAAGATTTGAGAGATGAAGCCAAGATCGAAGATGGAGGCGTGGTGGCCAAGGGGCTGCTCACCCTCCTCATCGTTGATCGTCACCACCGAGCAGAGGGGCTGGGCCGACGCATGGTGGAAGAGCTGGGCCGCTTGGCCGCGATGTCGTTTGGCATGAGCAGCCTCTGCCTCACGTGCGAGCAGGACAAGCGCGGCTTCTACGAGCGGTGCGGCTTCTGCTTCATCACCACCGCGCACGAGACGGAGAAGGGTCAGCACCTCTTGTGGATGAAAAGGCAGCTCTCCGCTTGATCACTTGAAGAGTGAACAATCACTGATCGCGCCTATGGTCTGAGGTACTGCTCCGATTGTGATCACTCGGCTTGCCACTTGCTGATCGCTTCC